GCTAGTTCCAGGACAGGCTCCAAAGCTACAGAGAAACCCTGTCTTGCAAAAACAAAAACAAAAAGAAAAAAGGAAAAAAAAAACAGAAGGTCTTCACTTCAAAATGAAAGACAGAAAATATGCTGCATTGGGGGAGATGTTATGCCTTTGTTTCCACTGGAAACAAAAAGTTATGGCTTACTTCAAAATTAATAAAGATCAGATTTGTTTGGGGAGAACTCTTAAGGCTCTTGGCTGCAGACATGAGGGAAAAAGCCAAGAAAGACTACAGGACAGGTGATGTGTGTGCTGATCCCTTGACATGAAAACAGCTGTGACACTGGATGAGACATGGTAAATCTTCTTGGCTATAGAATCCTCATGACTTATTGTAGCACAAATAATAAAACCCAGAGACAGATATTGGAGTTCAACCTGAAGATCAAAAAAGCAAAACAACCAGCAACTAGAGAGACCTTTTACCTCTACCAAGTCTTTAGACCAAAGGGCAGAGGCAAGTGGATGTCAGTGAATTTGAGGCCTGCCTGGTCTACAAAAGGAGTTCCAGGATAGCCAGGACTGTTACACAAATAAATCCTGTCTCGAAAAAAAAAAAAAGAATTGAATGACCAATAGCAAGGGAGGAGGTATAAACAGGACTTCCAAGCAGAGAAAGGAAGTACGAACAGATAATAGAGATGCTGAAGAGAATCCAACAAGACAGGAAGAGGAAACAGAAGGTTTCCTTTTCAAGATGAAAGAGAGGTAATGGCAATAGGCAGAACATAGATTAATATAGATGAGATAATGTAAATTATAAGAGCTAGTGGAACAAGCCTAAGTTAAGGCCAAGCTTTCATAATTAATAATACATCTCCATGTTGTTATTTGGGGCTGTAAAAAAGAAAGTTCATCTATACAAAACAGAGATATGATCACTGGTAGAAGCTGCATGCCTGTGTAATGTTGACAAACATGCCCATGATCAAGGTGCATAAAGGGCAGGATGCATCTGCCACTGGATAAAGCTGATACAATACAGCACCCTGTTTGTATAGAAGAGAGGGGTGGGAGGAAACAGTGCCACAATGCATTCCTTTTACTGAAAGAAAAGACCATTGAGAGACTGAGCTCCACAAGTCAACAAAGTGAATAGATTAAGGCATACTTGATTTATGATAATTTATTTATACTGCAGACATTCTTGGTTTTAAACTTCTGCTCTTTTGATGTAAGTGACTGACAGTCAGCAACTGAATTGCAATTTCCATTCTGCCAAGAGAGGAGCTGTTTAATGCTGTGGGTTAAGTTATGCCAGCATGAGGATAATGGGCAGCTCTGCAGAGATCAGGGTTAAACCTCACTGCTTCAACCAAGCTAAGTCTACCCAGATGTTTAATTTCATATACAGCATCCACTTTTGATATCCTATAATTAACTACATATAAGAAATAATCTCTTCTTACAAAACCATCATTTTTGTGTGTGGGAGGCAGGGCTGGACCACTGTAAATTATCCATTAACTTTGTCAGTTATCAGAGCATCCATCTCTGACAGACACAGATTTCATTTTCAAGCAAGCATTTTTCAGTCAGATTTGACACCCTGTCAAGGTCAGAATGTCTTAAAATGGAGACTTCAAAGTTAAGAATTCTCTGATGAATAAGGCAAAATCTCATCAGAGGTATACAGTTAGACACCTTTTAATGTATTAATATTTGTAGTCCTTGAAATAAGAAGTTATTGCTTTTCAGTTTAATTGACTCAAATGTCTTAATATGAAACTTTCCATAAATAAATCTAGTTTATAAAAATATCATCATACTTCTAGAAGTATTTAATAAGTCAAAAACCATGCCTTGACTTTATCTCTATTACCCCTAAAAGCACACAGGTAAACAAGCAATGGGTGAATATTTAAAGTGTACTATCAGGGCAGCCACCAAGAGGCCCTTTCCCAAGCCATCCTTCAATAATGCAGGCAAATCTCTGAGTTTATCTTATTTTATACCTCTTATTTTTGAAATACCTGTTGTTCACCCAAACAAAATTATATCTAAAACTATGAAAGATTGATTGCAGAAAAAGATAAATGACACTGAATATTTGTGGTTTTAAAATTTTAGTTTTATTTTTAATCGTGAGCTTGTGAGTGCTGGTGTATCAGAAATCAGAGGTATTGGATTCCCCTGGAGCTGGAGTTTCAGAAATCTACCTAAAGTGATTCTGGGAGTCAAACTGAGATCTAACTTTGGAAGAGTAGAACATGCTCATAACTGTTAAGTCACCTCTTAAGCCTAAATATTTTTGGCTAAAATTTGCAAAGTTTAGCATATCAACACATGACACTCAAATATCTTTCAAAGGTCTTTGAAAGATTTTGTCCCTTAACTGGAATAAATCCTATGGGAAAAACAAACCATAAAGAAATTTCTAGTCTGATAGCTCTTTATTGGTGATGGGAGGAAGGGAGGCTACTCTTGGACAAATGACCACATTACCAGTGCTATGGGGCCATGCATTTGCAGGGCTGTATTGTCGGGGGTGGGGAGTGAGCAAGACAATGGAAAACATGAACCAAACAAAGCAGAACATCAACAGCAGACAAATGTAGGGAGAGCAGCTAACTGGACATATATGTTAACTCTCCAATGGTCTGGATGTCTATTTTCACTCCCTGTGGAAAATACACAGGGATTGAAATTCTGACTTCCCATTTATTGAAGGCATGCCAGGTAGGATTCCAAGGTTAGCTAATGCGAACACATTGTTTGTAACTAACAAGAGAAACACTGACAATCTCTGGTACTTTGTTTACCAAGTATCTCAGGTGTCAGTGTTGGAGCCACTCACTGACTCATTAGGCTGGAGAAAGGTCTTTCTTCAGCCTCTCTCCCAGCAGGGAGCTGAAGCCATGCCAGCCAGCTTGGCTGCCATCTCCTCGCCATCTGAAGTCCTGACTGCTGCTCTTGGCCTTGCTGGTGTCATACCTTAACACACTGTCTCCAAGGATAATCTGCTGGCCTTGCCACCGCTTCTTTCTTCTTCAGTCTCTTACTGTCGATTTACACTAGTAAATTAAGTTATTTCAATTCCCCACACACTACTTCAGTGTTGTAACATTCTTTCTTTTGTTTATGGTTTTACATTTTAAATTAATATGTAATAGTTATGTCATTTCCCTCCTTCCCTTTCTTCCCTCCAGTCCTCCCAGTGTACTCCTCCTCTCCTCCTTTCAATGCATCCCATGTTCCCCCATGCTCAAATTTACAGTTTTTTTGTCTTTGGTAATTATTGTTACATACATATATGTAACATGTATGATGTCCATATATATGTATGTAAAGACAAATATCTTTATCTTTATCTATATCTATCGTCCTGAGTTCATTTTTGCCCTTTGTTTATACATGGTTTCATTCAGACCACTTTGCATTAGACAATCAGGAGCCTCAGCCCTTGGAGATTCTAATTCTTCTTCTTCCAGAGGTCATTAGTTTCCTGCAGTTCTGTTTTACATTCTTTCTTAAATGGACATACTTGAGGTGCTTTAGATCGTGGATTAAGAGGACTGACTGCTCTTCCAGAGGACCTGGGTTCAATTCCCAGCACCCACATAACAGCTCATATTTATCTGTGACTCCAGTTCCAGGGGACCTGACATGTTCTTCTGACCTCTGATGGTAACACACATGCGCACAAACATTATGTACACACAGGCACAATGTCCATACAAATACAAAAACAAAAACACTCTTGACCTTCCCAATTGTCTCCATTTTCATGAAATGAGATCACACATCATGGTGTCTTCATAAACACACCACCAGCTTCACATGGAACATTCTCGCCTTTTTCCTTGCACTCTGTCCATTTGCCCTCAGGACTGAACATACCGTCCTCCAAAGTTACTCATTTCTAACACAGTGACCTTGCCACTGGAAGGCTACCCAGCATCAACAGAAACTCCCTTTCCTCTTCAACTTATACATGTCAAGAGTTTCACAATGTGTCATAAGGAAGTTTAGGTATGTGCGTATACCTGGTCAAAGTTTTAATGATGTCCCAAGACTGTCAAAATTGAAACACAACTGATACTCCTATATAATCACGAATACAGATCTCACCTGCTGTTTCTAAAGCCAGAGAGTCATCATAGAGCCATCAAGCGTTTGTCCAGAAGCACACGTTTACAGACATCACAAATTAGCCCTGCAATACTCACATTTACACCCTAGACATGTATGATAAGCCATAAATCAACATCCTTGAGGAATCCCGATCTCTCCTATTAGGGGCAATACTGAGATACAGAACCACTGGTCAGATTTCCTATCTCTGTTCTCTTCAAAACTGTCTTCTATGTCTCCAATAATCATCTAACTAAGTTGTAATCCCCTGGCCCATTCTGGTGAGGATGCACCTTCATTAAACACCCTGTGGGAAAGTCACACCCTTATGGCCCTAATAGCTTCAGGTAAAAGAGTAATACTTCTTTGTAAGTTAGGTAAACATTCTTCCTTGACAAAGGTTTCCAGTTGCTTCCTTTCATAAAGCGGGTCTGGTGTTTGCTGTACCAAGGATGCTCCCCGAGAAAAAGAGAGACCTCTCTTCTTGTCTAATTTGCTTTTGAAAAATATTCAATTATGTTTCTACTTTAATTCTCTTAGTAATGAAAAGAAAATGAGAAAAACAAACATGTTTGATTTGTCTCGGAAACAGAAACAGCTTTGCAAGAACAAACAAAGTTAAATTAAAATAAGTAATTCTCCTCCATGGTAGAATTGAATTTTTCCCTCCAAATTTCATAACATCTATAAAACACAAAGCAGACACCACTGAGACTGAACATTTTGATTCACAGTAAGTATCACCTGCACCTACCCCTAACCTACTGGTGGTCTATATGGCAGGGCACAGACATGTCTACAAAAACTGTACATGGCCACATAGTTCACTGACAGAAGCAGAGCATGGCTGGGGCTGCAGGTCGCACTGTCCCGACGGGAGTTCCACCTACCGTTTTTGCAGATGGGGCAGCACTGATCAGGCTCGTACACGGGGTCCACACATTCCGTCTGGGGACACGCCGACACTGTGCACAGCACTTCACCATTGGCTTCACAGCGACACCGCTCACACGGAGACACCTGAGACACAAGCCCATGATCAGGGTCACACCTCCCACAGTCCTTACCCTATATCACCGTAGCTTTAATTTTAGGTATGAAGATAACCGGGAGTTTCAGGAATGACATGTTTAAGTGGCTAGGCACAGTATTTTTTCAAATGTGAACACAAGCTCCTGGTGTTGCCTTAGGCATAAATAAAAGCACTCACTGGGGCTACTCAGCCTCTCAGCTCTAGTCAGGGCAGCTCTCACTGAAGGGACTTCTTTGAAAGCATCCTTCTGAAGAAATATTTCTGTTGCTTCCGAAATCAAGTTACTACTGATTTCTTGCTCAGCAAAGCCTTACTTTTCCATAACTCTGTCAACTCTGCACTTAGTCTAACGTGGATTGTTCCCAGTATTTCTCAGAACAGGGCAGGAGGCAGAGAGAAAGGAAAGCACAAGACACGCCAGTCCTCTGAAGCCAGGAACCCCTTGCTAGAAACTGCATGACCTTGGTGTCCCAGAGGACACTAAGTGCCCTCCTGCTATGGATGATCCTGTTTAGTGGGAAGGAACCTAAGATTTAGAGGAATTAAACAATTTGCCTTCACCAGATATTCTAAGGAATTAAACCAATATGCTGACTATAGGTCCATGCTGACTTCCCCTTCTCCAGTGCTTTACAGGGTCACCCCTTTATGTCATCAGTGCTGCCATGTTCCTCTGGGAACCAAAGCTTTGAGAGGTGACAGGTCTCTGTCTGTCTGTCTCTTTCTCTCCATCTCTCTGTCCCCTGCCCCTCCCCTGTGTGATGTGTAATTCTCTTCTATATGTTATGATTACCACTGATTAATAAAGAAACTGCTTTGGGCCTATAGCAGGGCAGAATAGAGCTAGGTGGGAAAAACTAAAGTGAATGCTAGGAGAAAGAAGGCAGAGTCAGTAAGAATCCATGTAGCCACCATACCACCGGGGACAGATGAACCAGAACCATGCCAGTAAGACATAGCCATGTGGTGATACACAGATGAATAGAAATGGGTAAATTCAAGATTTAAGAGTTATCCAGAAATATGCATAAGCTAATAGGCCAAGCAGTGATTTAATTAATACAGTTTCTGAGTGATTATTTCAAGTCTCGGAAGCTGGAAACAAACAAGTGGCCTCCTCTAACACCTGTGTGTACGTGTGTGTGTGTGTGTGTGTGTGTGTGTGTGTGTGTGTGTGTCTGTTTGTCTGTCTCTCTCTCTCTCCTTCTCTGTCTCTTTGTGTATGGAAAGAGAGAGAGAGAGAGAGACAGAGAGAGAGAGACAGAGAGAGAAACAGGGGTAAACATTTCACAATAGCCCAGAATAAAATGTTAGCCTACTTTGCAAGTTAAAACAAAGTTTATCCCAATATAAATGCACAGTTTTAAGAAGTATTTTTGGCACAATATAGTGGGGGATTTTGCAATGTGAGTTTTTGTTGTTGTTGCTGTTTTCCTCAGTTTTTCCTGATTATAGCACTGCATCTCTGTCTCAAGAGCAGATGTACATAGCAAGCAACACGGAAAATATTCTAAGTTTTAGAAGCAAAGACCTTGAATTGCAAGAGAAGCAGCCAAGTGCATGTCAGATCCCTTTAACTGGAAGGACTTCAGGCAGAAGCCAAGGAGCCCAGATGGTGTGGATTAGGGATGCAGAGCTATGCTTCCCGAGGGAGCAGAAGTCAACCCCACTTACGGCAACAGAACTAGCAATGGGCAGGGAGGTCACGGATTTGCATATGTCCTTAGCAAGCTGCTCCATAGCTAGGAACCCACCCTTCACCCTGGCCATGCTCTAGGTAGAAAGGATAAAGCTCAACATGCGGTAGATTTAAAGGAGACAAAACGGGCCCTATGTCATGTCCAAGGCAAAATGTGCACTTGAAAATCAATATATAGGCAGGTGGCATTTGGTGAGTCCATTCTTCCACATAAGGCCACAACCTGACCTAGAAATGAAGTCCCATATCTCTAGCTCGACCTAAAACCACATGAGAGCTTCAGAGTACAACCTCAGAATACAAATGTGTAGATACACATTTAATCTGTTTTTTTTTCTTCTCAAAAGTCTCATGATTTCTCTAAAATTTGATGGCGGGTTTTACTCTAATTACATACAATGAAGTCTGGCTTGGCTCTATGGGGATTTGTTCATTTCTCAAAAATCAGAATGAATAGTCCATCAGGGTTACTATGAGTGTGTTTCTCTCCAGTCTTCCTTCTATCACCCAGATTTCCTGTCATCAGTTCCTACACTAAGGCTGTCTTCACTCCGATCCCACGCTCAGGCCACCCTAGCTCCGAGAAAGAGAGGGTAATGAGATAGAATTTCAATCTGTTGGTTCCCTGGGGTTCCCTATGCTCTGCTGGTACCTGCAGGGCAAGAGTTCTTCAGCAGGCTACAGGCCCCTAGTTCCTAAGATAGCAGTCTCTCATGTGTACTAATGGGGTTCCCACCTTGCCCAGGACCCAGCTTCACTTCAGAACTGCCTGCCCAGTGCTCATGTTCCTGTCTCCTGCAAGGCAATACAGTCTGACACTTCTTTCCAAATCACACACCTTCCTGACCACCTGGTTTCCATATTCCTCTGAGACCACCTGCCAGGCCCTCTTGCCACTCCCTGTGCTGATTCCTGGTCATAGATTAAGTTAAAACCAGTTAACCAATAGAACATCCCCATTGTCTCAGTGTGTGGGTGCACCCCTCGCAGTCCTGAGTTCCTTGCTCGTGCTCTCTCTCCATCTGCTCCTGATTTGGACCTTGAGATTTCAGTCCGGTGCTCCAATGTGGGTCTCTGTCTCTGTCTCCTTTCATCACCTGATGAAGGTTAATATTCAGGAGGGTGCCTATATGTTTTTCTTTGGGTTCACCTTCTTATTTAGCTTCTCTAGGATGACGAATTATAGGCTCACTAAGGCCAGCTGGCCCGGGTCTGAAAAAACATGGGATAAAACCGGACTCGCTGAACATAGCAGACAATGAGGACTACTGAGAACTCAAGAACAATGGCAGCAATGGGTTTTTGATTCTACTGCAAGTACTGGCTTTGTGGGAGCTTAGGCAGTTTGGATGCTCACCTTACTAGACCTGGATGGAGGTGGGTGATCTTTGGACTTCCCACAGGGCAGGGAACCCTGATTGCTCTTTGGGCTGACGAGGGAGGGGGACTTGATCGGGGGAGGGGGAGGAAAATGGGAGGCAAGGAGGCAGAAATCTTTAATAAATAAATAAATTTAAAAAAAAAAACCAACAAAAAAGACCCAGTTAACCAGGCATTCCTTGGACTAATGCTACCTCCTGATTGTCGAACCCAGTGGTGCTTATCATTCGAGTGTCTTGGCTTTCACTTTCCTACTCTTCACTTGTGAAGACCTGTGCTCCTTTTACATTTCATGCTGAATCAGCTGCTGCTGACTTTAGACCCAGCTGAGATATGTCCATCAAAGCATGGATAGAGCTGGGGTCTTTCCTCCAGTAAGCCATCACTTAACTTCATCCCGCGGGCTATTGTATGGTCTTCTTACAGTATATGAAATGTAGCTAAGTTTAAAAATAAAATTAATAAAACAAGACAAAGAAAATGGGAGCAAAACGAAACAAAACAAAAACCCAGGGTTCATGGGATCTCAGGCATCAACCAAGGAAATTGTCCCCAGGCTCAACCTCAGGATAGCACATTTTAAAAGTGGTCCCTCTGAGGCTGATGGGGACCCAGAGGGACTCAGGACTAGATCTTCTCACAGTTCGGGCTCTGACCCAGATTGACCATCTACCCTTTTAAACCCGACTCTGTTCAGCAGCCTCAGGCACATCAACAAACTAGGAGTGATCCCAATACATATCAATAAGAATAGTATAGTTTTTCCCAACTGGAAGTGAGAATGAAGACATTTTCTGTTCATGCCATGAATCCAGCTACAATTTCAAAAGTGTGAACTTCTTCTGCCACCTTTTGTGAGGGTGAGGATAAGATTTTTTTTGTGCATGTGTGTATGTGTGTGTGTGTATGTGTGTGTGTGTGTTGAGTGATGACCAAGTAGTGTAGCTGGACCTGGCCTCTACTGGAAGATCTCTATCTTTGTCCCTTGCCCACATGACTTTCTTGTTACCTAATGTGTGCTATGCTTGCAAGCAGCATCTCCTCATAGGAAATCAACGAAACATGCCCTAAATCCAAAGCAGAATATTTTCAGTAAAACAACTCTGACTACATAGACTACATCATAGACAAGAAAATGCAAATAAATACAGTAACTAAATGGTAATAAAAGCAGATCAGTCATAACTGGGGCTGCCCTCATAGCACTGGATAGTTACATGTGTGCCCTTGTCACATGCCCAGCAACAGCAGGGGCAACAAGCCCTGAGGCTGTATCTTTTGATTAAATAGAAGTGGGTGTGGTGGTTTGAAAGAAAATGGTCCCCAAAGGAAGTGGCACTATTAGGAGGTGTAGCCTTGTTAAAGGAAGTGTCATTGTGGGGGCGGGCTTTGAGGTCTTTTTCTGCTCAAGTTTCTCTCAGTGTGACACTGAGACAACTTTCTGTTTGCTGTGAAATATTAGTTGAGGATGTATTGCATTTGTTTATGCTGTGGAACATTTGTTTAAAGATGCAAAGATGCATTGCATTCTTTTATGTTGCATTTGTTTAACTCTGTGAAGCTGTGTTGCTTTGCCTGTCTAAAACATCTGATTGGTCTAATAAAGAGACGAACGGTCAATAGCTAGTCAGGAAAGGGATATGCAGGGCTGCCAGGCAGAGAGAATAAATAGGAGAAAAAGAAAGACAGGAGTGAAAAAAGGAGGAGAGAGGACACCAGGGGCCAGTCACCCAGCTACCCAGTAAAAGGGGGAAAAAGTATATAGAATAGATAAAGATAAAAGCCTAGAGGCAAAAGGTAGACAGGATGATTTAAAAAAAAGCTGGCTAGAAATAAGCTAAGCAAAACCCCGACATTCGGGAATAAGAATAAATCTCCATGTGATTATTCAGGGGCTGTGTGGTGGCT